ATGATGTCTAGTTCCTTCTCGAGACCTTCCTTCGTATTACAGGGCCCGAAAGCACAGTCTAATAGAGTCTTGATGATTTCTCTTTTAGTCGATTGATGGTATATGGATTCGTGGTTCAGATAATATCCTGTGTGAGTGGGTTTTCGGTAAACATATGTTTTCCACTTAGTGTCGGTTCTCTTCACCGACGTAGCAGCCTCACGGAAACTAGGCCACCAAACGCGGACTGCGATTCCAAGAATTGCATTTACCGGATACCCTGTGAGTGCGGAAAATCCTATATTGGTGAAAATAAGAGGCCATGGAATGTTTGCATTGCTGAGCACAAGAAACACACACACACACAGTAAAAATGAAAATCTCAAAGTGAAGAACATTATCTCGATTTAAAGAAATCTTGCTCTCGTATATTCATGAAGAAATATTTTTTTAAACTGAGAAACATATTCTCCCAAATTGAATTCAAATCATTATTTCAAATAGACTGAATAAACGCTTCTTTTAAGTAAAAAAAAATATTCCACCAAGATTGTGCGTACATTTCAATAAAAATAATCACATTAGCTCAAGAGAAGTAAGTATGCATTCTTTAGTCTGAGCAAAATTTTATCTCGAAGCAAAACTGTTTTGGGTTTTGAAAGAATGATATGTTTACTTGGAACATTATTTAAATGTCTCCGTATGAGAAATTAATTGTTTTCCTTTGAAGAGAAGCATTTTTCATTTAAACACTTCTATTTGTATAAATCAAATAAACTCATTTACTTCATCAAAGATGAAATTATGCTTCTGTTTATAAACTGTACTTCTCATTTGGATATATTTACTTACTTGAATCCAAAGTATCTCATCTGTAATATGAACAGCTATAAGTGGTAAGGAAAGAAACTAAACAATACATTACATATTATAATTGGTTTATCTGAAGCAATTGCAAATTATATATATTATCCTGGAAAAGCATGTGATAAAAAACAAAACGTGAGAGAGAACTATATTTTCTTTCCTAATCTTTGCTTAAATATCATATTCCAACCGCACACTTTTGAGAGATCATACGGTTATACAAATAACAAAAATAAATATTCAATGAGAAAACATATATAAAAAAAGGGACATATTCTTGACAAATTGCAATTAATACATTTTCTTGTCTCAGACAAGAAAATGTATTAATTTATTAGTGATTTTACACAAATGAAATTTTTAAAACTAGATGCCATTCTGGTAAATAACAATATAAAAATCACTATCGTCTATCAAGTTCTGCATTTTGCTTTTGTTAATCCACAATTGCCAGAACATCACTTGGATTCTGAAACGAAATAAGAAATCAGCACATCATCCTTAGCCACTATTTCAAATATATAGAAAGGTAAAAATATGAAAACAGCAGCCACTTAATCAAAAAAATATATATTTTTTCAATAAAACACTGTTTAAGTGGGTTTATTCCGTTAACCAACCCAATTGTTGTTTGCATGCGACTGACAACCCTCAAAATTTTAAACTTGTCTGAGGTCTTATTATTTAACATACGATTCCTAGCAAGTTAAAAGGTGCTTTAACATTATTTGATTAGGAATAGATAATCAATTCAAAAGACGTACCTCAAATCCCTGCGAAGTGGACAGAAGTCTATACAGAAAAATTGCCTTTCAAAATAATTATTAGAGGATCAATGAAAAATATAAAATGTTTCAATAAAAAAATGTAACTCATGATCATAAAAACATACTTGAAGGAATATGATTCGCTATTTAAATAACAGTATTCACTCTTTTCACGTTATTGGAAATGCATATTTCATCTCTAGTGAGTTTGGTAATATTTCTACCTATTTCTTACATTCATAAAGGAAATTTATCAAATAATTTCAAGCTGAGTAGGGTATATTCAATGAATAACATAAAAACATTTCTGAAGTGATTACAGAAAGCAAAGACGTTTCGGAATTTAACAAATATTTACATGTTGAAATCAGAAAGTGGCTGTCACATATAGAAGCTTTTTATACCTACTGGTGACTGTTTTGTCATTTTTTGTATTATAATTTATTGTCGAAACTATAAGTACCAATAGCTTCCAATAAAAAATGAATTCGGTCTGAGAGAAAATCAAATTTTATTTAGAGAAAATGCTCTTATTTGAAACAAAATGAAATGTATGTTCAAAACAAGGGATTGGCAAATTTGAATGAACGTGGAGCAATTTTCAGTTTGAATTAATATACACTTGCAGAGCTCGGCAAATGTAATAATGCATGTGTGAAAAATTACGGAGCATTGGTATAATTTTCTCAAAATGAGGGCAAAATTAAGAGTTGCCATCAACGTTTACCACTTTCTCTTCGGTACTACGTATACAACGCGGTACTTACTGAAATAGCGGAGTTTTATCCAATTATAATACTCCCCAGTCTTGGTAGATATTAAATAATCGGAAAGAAATTGCACTGCCTACAGACACATAAAACACTTCCTCCTCAAAATCGCAACACACCAACATCACTTTCCAACACATACTGGCGCGTACGCGATGCTTACAACGGAATTCCCCGCTCCCCTCTCACTTAAGAGGACCATAGAAAGACCAGAGCACCACAATTTTTTTCAAACTGAAATTCCTGTTATTTTCAGTCGATCATAATATAGTTTTGTATGTAGATTCACAAAACTCTTGTTATAAACGAATTGAGTTATTTAAAGGGATACAGTATTGAACTAAAACAGACACTATGTGTTCAGATCAAGTTGATATTGCTTTCCATTTGAAACAGTTTATTTTTCCCTTCACATAGGTGGTGGATTTTGAGATGATATTATATTTTCTTGATTCAAAATAGTTCATTTTCGCCATGATATAATCAAACGAATGATGTCGTTGAAAGGCCAAGAAATTTGTTTTCTTTGTTGTCTCTGGTGGAACATGGCGATGTTGGCATAAAGTAATAGTTTTTCCAATAGAGATAAAAATTTCAAAGCAACCTATGATATTCTTTTAAAGAAATACTTTTTACTGTGCATTTGTTTAAATCAATCCTTCTAGTAGTTTCTTTCAAGATTGTTGTGGCTCCAATATCATCTGGATTTTGTGATTTCTTGTAATATTCCACTCCCAAACTGTCAATTTGTATTTTTGGCTTTGCATTATGAAGAGATGATTGTTTTACTTTTTTTATGTAATCTAATTTTTTGAATAGATTTTTCACATCCACAGACTGCACAGGAAGAGACAAATTGTCAACGGTACAGACAATACCCAAGTTGAATGTAATACTCTCACTTAGTCCACGTATTTTCAATGATATCTTCTTCGAATTATACTCTTCGGATGTAAATGAATTTGTCCATTGGATTCTCAAAGTTTCACATGGACTTGTTGCGCCTATTTCGACTGCCAGCGTAGAATCGATTATGGTAATGGTGGATGCTTCGTCAAAGAGGGTGGATGCTAATGTATTAAATTCACCTCCAGGATCGATTAATTCAACAGGGGCAATTCTTAACAGTATTTCAGTCTTCTGGGAATGGTTGACATGATGATTAACTTGCTCTTCCACCTCAACTGAATTATCTTCCACTACTTTATGCAAAAGTGGGTTGTGTTTGAAAGTACAACTATCGATTTCACATTTTTTCTTACTTTGGCAAAATTTTGTGAGATGTGACGATCCAAGACAAGTAAAACACACTTCATTTTCTTTTGCTCACTTCCAACGTTTTTCAATATCAAGTTTCCTGAAAAATTTGCATGTTTCAACTTTATGTTCATTTTTTTGCGATATTTACATTTATAAACTATTTTTTCTTGTTGCCTGGTAGTAAAAACGCACTTCTTCTTTCCGTCCTGTTCCTGTTCTGGACCAACAACGTATATAACTTCCTCACTAGTTTCACTCAGCCATGTGAAAAATTCTGTGATGGTAATTGAATTTTTAAATTTTTTCAATTATATAACTTTTCTACCCCATTCCATATGCAAATTGGGGCCAAGTTTTTCAACAATGTCATTTAAGAGTTAGACAAGTGATCGTAGCAGTCAAATTTTTATTTATTTTTTTCATTTTACTCGTTCTTGCTATCCTGAAACTGGTTTTCCTGGGTAGTGAAAGTGTTTTAAATTTGATGCTCATCAGGAAGGTACTCAAATACACTCTGAGAATCAGCAACAAAATAGTTGGTCTTGATCGGCTGATTTTTAATATTTTTTTAAATTCTCCCTGTTCTTGCTATCTTGAAACTGTTTTTTCTTGAATACAGTGTTTCTTGAATTTGTTGCTAACCAGGAGTATACTCAAATACACCTTGGGTATCAGCAACAAAATAGTTGAAACCGACCGGCCAATTTTTATTTTTTCATTCATTTTACTCGTTATTGCTATCTTGAAACTATTTTTCCAGGGAAAGAAAAGTGTTTTAAATCTGATGCTCATCAGGAGGGTACTCAAATGCACAAAAAACTAAATAGTTGGTCTTGATCGGCTGATTTTTAATCTTTTTTTTTTAATTCTCCCTTTTCTTGCTATCTTGAAACTGTTTTTTCTGGAATACAGTGTTTCTTGAATTTGTTGCTTACCAGGAGTATACTCAAATACACCTTGGGTATCAGCAACAAAATAGTTGAAACCGATCGGCCAATTTTAATTTTTTTTTTCATTTTACTCGTCATTGCTATCTTGAAACTGGTTTTCCTGGGAAGGAAAAGTGATTTAAATTTGTTGCTCATCAGGAGGGTACTCTGCTACGCGATGTTTTTGCACAAGATAATTAAATTTACAATAGGGTTGCCGAAAATCAAAAACACCACTAACATGCCCGACTAGGTCAGTGGTTTGCACAAAGTCGTGGGTGCAACTAATTAAAAGAAAAACAATGATTTTTAACTAAATGGGGAAGCGCCACCAATTTTTGTTGGCCAGTTAAAAATCGGAAAACTGCCCAGTTATTGGGGAAGCCCACTATTGAAATATTTAACTTCTCATAAAAGTAATAATTCTATTTGCAATGACTAAGGAAGTTTATTACAATAATAAAAAGAAGAAATACAGTGACCCTTCTGTTTGCCGATTACTCACTTCAATTGCTAGATTACCACTATCATAATACATTCGCTAATATGTGCTAATATGTGACGTCACGTAAAAGCTTACACCACTCCTCTCAATGAGGTAACTTGTACATTTTATTATAGGAAATAAATAAACACCGGGTTCTTTATTCAAATAACTTAGTCTAAACTTAGCTGCTTTTCGGGTGCTCCTTTTTCGTAAGCTGCCAGGGAATGAATACTGATCCGGCAGTATCGGTGGATACGGATGTAGTAGGAATCTGTTAATATTCCCAGTGGTAATTATTAGTAAAGGTAACGATCAGGAAACTTCTTCAAGAGACTGATCTGGCAATCGATTTCAATTTCCCAAATTCAAGCTGATGCAAATACGCCTTTCTTAGGAATATTCTAACACCCTGAAGAAAAATATTCTCATGACAACATCGTAATCAAAAGGTAAGAACAATAAGGACAAAATTTATTATGAGTTCCATAGCTGAGTTGAACAAGGTTGTTTGAAAATACTGTACTAACCTCCTAATAATCGAGGGTGTTTCCAACACAAAACAGACAAAGATCGTCCTCTGAGAATTGAGAGAAAATACTGACTATTTGCCCTTTTTATAAAAATCCTGCTTTTGCAGCGGTGGTTTCCAATATTGTCCCAAAATACTCCAAACTTCACAATATCAAAAAGGAACCACAGTTGGCTGAAAATTCGAAAATCCCTTCTAGGTAGTTAACGAGCGAAATAATTCAACCATGCAATCAGTTCATTCAGCAATTCACGATCGAAAAATATCTTTTCGCCAAAATTTCCGTCCTTATCCTTATGTCCTTGGGTGTGAGAAAAAAAGGAACACAACCTATTTACCGACCTAGTCGGTGTCATAGGCGGGTTAGAAAGGTTTTAAATATACATAAATTCGCATGTGGAAATGAATAAACTAACCGATTATTAAAAGTATAAATAAATTGTTTAATTTATAACAAAGCAAAATTGTATCGTAACAACTCAAATACAGCAAACAAAATAATTGGCCTTGATCGGCAGATTCTTTTGTTGTTGGTTCGTCATGTACATCTTTAAGTACTATCAATTTGGCAAAAAATTCACAGCTCTTTTGATTCGGGAAAAAAATCAAGATAGTGAAATTAGGAAAATTAAAGAAAAAAATAAAAATATAAACCGAACAGTTCAGAGTATTTTGTTGATGATTCTCCAAGTGTATTTAAGAACTCTCCTGTTGAGCAACAAATTTAGAATACTCTGTACTCAAGGAAAAACCAGTTTCAAGTTAGCAAGAACAAGAAAAATGAAAAAAAAAAAACTTGAAAATCGGCCGATCGGTTTCAACTATTTTCTTGCTGATACCCAAGGTGTATGTGAGTATACTCCTGGTAAGCAGCAAGAACGAGGAAAATTAAAATCGGCCGATCGGTTTTAAATATTTTGTTGCTGATACTTAAGGTGTATTTAAGTTTACTCTTTGTGAGCAATAAATTTAGAACATCTTTAATTCCAGAAAAAACCAGTTTCAAGATAGCAAGATCAGAAAAAATTTAAATAAAAATTAAAATTTTTTCGCTATATCCAAGGTTCAGCAACTGAATAGTAACTAAATCTTCTGCGAAGATCAAAGGAAAAGTATATAACTTATTGAGTTACCTTGCAACCTTTATATCACGATAGCATTATTTGCAATTTTTAGGGATCGGCACGAGCAACAAAATCGTTGTTTTGGCAACTAATTAGCAACTATTCAGCTACATTTTTTTTTGCAATTCTGCTGGATTCGCCATGCTAGCCGTATACGCTGATCGAAGAACCACTTATGTTTCTGACTCCGGTTAGTTTGGGTTTTGAAATTGCCTTTGGTTTTAATAGTTTATTGAATGAAAATACTTTGAATGACAAGACGTAGTTTTTATGTTTGACAAGTATACAAATTCTGTTTATTTTTGCCAACTAGTTAAAAAATATCTAATAAATTAATAGTACATGAGCAAAATGAATGAAACAAACATTTCAGATAAATAATCCGTAGGAACAACATCAATTCTCAAAAACACTCATCCAAAAATTGTTTAAATTTTTTAAAAGAAACAAGAAAAAAATTTCATATTTTTTGTAAAGAATGACTAGCGTATGGTTAGTGATATAGTGTTTCCATAATATGAAATATTCACCAAACTTTTATATTTAAATTCATGCTTTACGAATATCAAAAAACCCCCAGTATGTTCACTCTGAGAGTAACAAACATCAAATTTGTATCTCATAATATAAAGTTGATTTGAATCAATTTCTTCAGTTATATGTGTTTTTGTTGACAAAATGATATAGGTTTCCATTTATTAATGGTAAATTCTAATTGTTTTTTATTTTGTATAAAGCCCTGTATATTTACATATTGAACATTAGTATTCATTGGATAACAGGATGAATATTTTTCCTACCGACGATTCGAATTTGATTAAATTCTTCTTTAGGGCTCGAAAAGTAGTTTCTTCATTTCGAAAAATATCAGTTATATAGTTATATTATCAATACCTACGTCGGCAAAAAAACCCATTGTTTTTTAGAAAAAATTGATGCTGCTACCCAACCAACCTTTCTTCAGAATAATTATTCATATTCATCAAAGACAGTAGTGTCTACATAAAATGATTATTTTTTCCGCATTCAATTTTTTCGACAAAGGAATTCTTCGGTTTAATTCGTATCATGATGATGTATATGGAAGGGTCGAGTTTGCCGTAACGGAAATTCTCACTACGTCGAATTTTCAATACATCGAATTTGCTCCCTGTGAAAATAATTCAATTTTGACAACTTTCATATTTTGGTGACGTCAATGGAAGGGATGGCTTTCGAAGAAGTAAGATTTCGACGTAGTATGATTTCGACATAGTGAAAATTTGATGTAGTGACACATTTCTAGTGAGATAAAAAATCTATACTTTTCTTGTGAACTGTGATTAATAAGTTTCAGTTTTAGATACCACGTTGAATCTTACACAACATTTGAGGCATGCGTCTGTTTACAGTTCCATTGCGAAGAAACACTACCCACCAACTCTATATTGTGAAATGATGACGGCCAATTTCTGAATGTTTCGATCTTTACTGCGTATAATAATAAATCATTCTTCAACAGATGTGCTTTCTGTTCATCTTCATGTTCAAATTGTTTTTTTTAATCAAGTATACATTGTAACTTGTAAATATAAAACATATCTGCACAGTGAAATAAACAGTAAACTAAATCACCTAAAAGGTGCTATTCGATTATCTATTTTTCATTGATGATTTTGGTTAAATGGTAGTCACGCGAGAATCGTTATATTCGTGCCAGCTGTTGGAGTACGGATGTCTACAAAGTATGCTGTGATTCGATAATTCATAGAGAATATAACGACAAGTGACTATATTGTACACAGAAAAAAATACTCATATATAAACCTTCCAGAGCAAAGTCAATAGCAACATTTGTTGGCGAAAATCTCTTTAAATGTTCGAGGAAACTGATGGATTCTGTACATTTTCTTCTTTCTCTGCATTTCGATTACATCAATCTTTTTTTCGTCTCCATCCAGAATTCCTTCTTTTGTACAGGACTCCAAGCATTGTGATACACTCACTCATTTTTTTCTCCAAATCTTTACGTTTCTTCATCGATCTGGAACACTCACTCTGTTTTTTAAAGGATAACAATAGCAGGTATCAAATGAAACAAAAGGTGCTCTGTAGATTCATTTTTGTTTATTTCTGATGGGTTTTTAGTGTAAATTCAAATATATTCAACAATCAAGATGTAAAATTTTATCATCCAATATTCCAATTATTAAAATGGCATCTATCTTTCTGACAGAAAAAAGAGGAGAAAAACTGAACTGGAACTGTCATGTGATCACTCTAGGCTCTTCACCGGAATTAACTTCATGCGAACTCAGCTGAAGAATTGGAAATCTCGTTGCTCAATGTTACTCAGAGTTTGTTTTTCGATTTATGTATGGTCGATCACAGATTGGCTACATGTGAACCCTCTTGTTAGTTATTCAGGATGAAAAAACATGCCTTCTAATCACATGCTCATCTCATATGATTGAACATAAGTCATAATTGTCATGATGAATTAGAAGTAGGTGTGACATCCCTCCATGAACGTATAAAAACTTGAAGACATGCGCAAAGAATTTCTATTTGTTTATTGAAACACCGGTTGTTCTGTTAAATGTAAAAGTTTTATCATCGATCAATAATGAGATTTGTGTACGTTGAAAAAATCACAGCCTGAGATTTATGTTAAGAGAATACCTAATTTTAACACCACATTGTTTCAATACTCAAAAAGTTAATGTTCAAGTGATCAGATATTCAGGTATCATCAAATATTCCATTAATTATCACTTATGATAATTGTTCAAGTGATCAGATATTGAGGTATCATCAACTATTCCATTAATTATCACTTATGACATAAGTACATTTTTTATAAAAAATTCAAATGAAATTAGTTATAAGGATATTAAAACCTGAACATAAAGTAGTGGTGAAAAAAGCGGCTACTGGAATTAGGAGTAACATCATCTCTACCTCCTCTTCTTTGGCAACCCTGAAATAAGAATAAGGTAAATCAACTATTCTACTTGAAGTAGAAGTAAAAAAACTGTTAATAAGCTATGCTGATTACGCAAACATTGATTTCAATTTAAGAGCCACCAGTAGACAGCTGTTTCAGCTTATACCGGGCAGACGGTCTTCGATTGAAGACAAAATGTGTTTATATATATATATATATATATATATATAT